CTTTTTTTAAAAGCTATAAATGTGAGAGGAGAGGAGAGGAGAGGAGAGGAGAGGAGAGGAGAGGAGAGGAGAGATATATTTTTACCCCATTTGTAGCATTTTCTCTTCCGCTCATGGATTGAAGCACAGCTTTATCAAGACCAAGTTTTAAGCTTGCTTTATCAAACATTTCCCTTTCATAAGAATTCCTTGTTATTAATCTGTAGATTTTCACTGATTTGCTCTGTCCTATCCTGTGACATCGAGCCTGAGCCTGGAAAATTATGAAATGAGATGTATTTTTTTTTAACGCATTAAAATAAGTAGCAAAATGAACAAATGTTAGAACAACGCTTTGTTTTAAGAATTTTGAAGAGCTCAAACAGAATGTACTACCTGAGCAATAAATTCTAATGGAGGAACACTAAGAAAATAGACTGTGTCCACTGCCTTTTACAATATTACCTGAAGATCATTTTGAGGATTCCAATCTGAATCAAAAATGATGCAGGTATCAGCAGCAGTAAGATTAATCCCCAAGCCACCTGCTCTTGTGCATAGTAGAAAAACAAATCTGTCAGAATCAGGTCTGGAAAACCTATCAATAGCTGCTTGACGAAGGTTGCCTCTCACTCTGCCATCAATTCGTTCATAAGGATACCTATAAAAACAAAGTGGTATTAAAAAAATATACCCTCTGTGCCAGTAATTCAAGACTGAAAGCATTGTTCTCTACTCAGCAAATACAGCTTTTCTTCTTATTAATGTTTGCAACTTTGCAGCTCAAATTTCAGTTCTAGCATGTAAAGGGAAGTATACAAAATGAGTGGGGAGAAGGAGAGGTTACAAGAAGGGCATCATTCCCATGTTCTTCCTTTTACAGACATTTTTCTTGTTTTAAAAATGTATGCCAAATTTCAGAAAATTACACAAAGTTACAGGAAAAAAAATGTTACTGATATACTTAATTGGCTATTTCACCCAGAATTAAGAGGCTAAAAATTGTTGCAATTCAAAAGAATAATAAAGGAACAAAACATTTTTGAAAATCTATTACTTATTAGTGACTGTTTTATGGACTAATTTTTACTAGAGTCTAATATTAGATACAATAGAAAACAAGTTCTAATCTTGTTTTATTCTAAAAGCATTATAAAGTCTAAAGTAAAAGGTGATACACTATGACTTATAAGCAAAGAATTAGAATTAATAACACAATTATTGTTTTCTTTAGGTATTTTCCTACTTTACTGTAAAATATTCCTATAAAATTTTCCTTCTCTGTGCAATACAGGTTAAATACTTGATAGAACGATGAACAACCATTATTTCCTAAACTTAAATTATATTGTTGTTCTCACCGTCTTTGAATGAGGTAGTCTTCCAGTATGTCCAAGCAGCGCACCATCTGGGAAAAGATAAGCACCCTGTGGCCACCAGCCTTCAATTTTGGCAGCAACTTGTCAATCAGTACTAGCTTGCCAGCAGCCTGGATCATTGCCTGGAGCTGAAAATCTGGAGAGTCAGGATTGTGTGTTTCTTTAAACTCTTCCAAAATTTTCTCTTCAGCACCTGCAAAGATTGGACAGCAATATGTGAATACTCCAAAGGTTTTATTAATAAAACTATGAATTTACTTCCAGTTTCCCATACAATGTTTAAGAGTTTTATATGTAAATATGTATTTATATAGCTGCATTTATTTAAATTTAACATGGAAAATACATAAATACAAACAATAAAAGCAAAGCAAAGCTTCCAGCAAACAAGTTTCACAACAACACAGAGGTGCCAAGCCAGAAGTCATAACAAATTAGGGAGCAGAGAATGATTGAATAATTAATTAGTAAATTAAGAACATAAGTACAATATATAACAGCTAGACAGAGAATGTAATGGCAAAACCAATTCTTTTTTTAAAAAGTGTTTTCACATAACCATGGTTTTTACTAACCATCCAAATTACACGTTACATTAACTGCATTCTAGTAAGAAACAAATCCCAAATTGAATGACTTCAATATCTACCAGGTAAGGACTATTTTGTAGCAAAATGAATAGCTGCAGATCACAATGACAGTAAAGATGTCCCCATAAGAAAAGTGTATAGGTACAATCTAACAAAATAAGGGCAACACACACTAGGCAATTCATGGTTCCTCTACCACTTCATTAAATATGAGTTATCTCATTGGAATTCAACCAGAACCTGGAAGGTTTGGTCATTTGGTAGAGAAGTATATTAAAAAAAACTCAAATCTTAAAATCCCTATTATAAGGGTCTTTGCAAGCTTAAAATATGGCTGTTTTTTGTTGTAATCTGGTTATCTTAATACTGAAAACAAGAACATAATGCATCAATGACATCAACATACTATTAGTGAAAAACAATTACAAGAAACTCAATGTGGGAAATAAGCAGTATCATACAGCAGGAACATTCGTGCAACGGAGCATTAGAATTCTGTTGTATCTAGTTTGTAATAGACATCCACAGTGGAAAGCAGAAATCCATACTTGTTTCTTAAATCAATATTTCTAATCACTACCACAGATATAGAATTATTTTAGTTTAGACAATGTTATGCTTTGATCTAACATTAGATCAAAATCTATTAACATTTATTCTGCTTTTTTCATTGAATGAACCATGATTTCTATATATTAATAAGCTGACTTGATTTTTTATTATGTGCTTCAATTGAGATGCGACAAGTGTCTAGGCAGTGTTTTACACTTATTAACTTACAAGGCAATTGTTGACAAAAACAAATGCCCTTTTAAAAGTAATTACATCTACCCATCCTACCGGTCAGGCAGAGAAGGTATGTGCGGATCCTGCCCATAAAAGAAAGTTGCCTGGCAGGGCCCAGGAAGAGAGCCTTCTCTGCTGTTGCCCCCACCCTATGAAACACTCTCCCCCCAGAAGTGAGGCGAGCCCCCACTCTCCCAGCAAGGGGTGAAGACCTGGCTGTGCCAACTTGCATGGGGTGGGAGAAGGGGTAACCAGCCCTGGGGGTGGGTAGCACCCTGAAGAGGCTCCCGTAGACTAATAACTTTTCATTTACCAGCTATTCCTTGGAATACATTATTTATTTATTAACACTGTTTTATTGTATTTTATTAGTATTTATTCTTGTTTTTATTGTAAACCACCCAGAGTCACTCTTCGAGTGAGATTGGCAGTGACCTTCAGAACAGTATTAATTCTTCTAGGTGCACTTGCAGTTTTTGAAGGAACTCAGCAGGTAGGTTGTTCCAAACATCTTGGACAAGTAACCGCAGATCTCCTGTGGATGTAGGCTGCCTCAAATCCTTCTGTCTCTACATGTAATCCCAGACAGACTCGATGATGTTGAGATCAAGGCTCTGTGGGGGCCTAACCATCACTTCCAGGACTCCAATCACACACTTCCCTGATGGTACAGCATGATGGATAAGTATCTGCCTATATTTCTCAGCATTGAGGACACCACTGATCCTGACCAAATCTCCA